GTGACTAAGATGACTAAAGATGCATCTCTTTTAAAGATGGACAACACGATTTCTATTGAATTAATATCTGAAAAGTTTGCCGTCAATTCCATTAATTTGATGTCTTTGAAACCATTTTTTTGGCGCACAATCAAGTTTGTAGAACGTGAAGGAGTATTGTCTTACATTAATGTACTCTATAGCTTAAAGGTTCCATTTCTGTATCTAACAAAACACCATAATCAACTTCGAAGAGACGTAACTTTTATAGCCTTTAATATTAGTCAATTGTTTTCTAATTCATACAGAGTTTCTGCTCTCATCAATAAAAATTGCTGTTGAAAAATTAGTTTTAATGTACTTCGCCATGCTTATACCCGAATAGCTTGGAAGCCATCCCATTAACTTGATGTCTTTAAAATTTCCAAAGTGGACAAGTGTCAGCTTTGCTGAAGTTGGAGGATCATTGGTTTATATTGCTATCTTATTTAGTTTAAATCTTATCGATTGCGATTTCAATCACTTAAAAAAAAGGTTTGTCTAAGAAGATGCAATCAATACATTTATCTTGGCATTGACTTCACCTTTAATGAGATTTGTATTGCTTACAATGCTAACACACAAAAAAGCATTATTCTACTTTCTCTATTTCAATGACGAGTGCAACCGGTTGCTCAGTCAACCGGTCCATCACCGAATGTGCCTCTACAGTAAGTACTAATAGATTTTTTCTCATCTGTTTCATTCGCAAAACCGACTTCTTGAAATACCTCCTCGCTGGTCAGTTCACTTGATTTGTTCGTTACTCTATGGGTTTTGACGTCTGTCTTTCGGACATTCTCAGACAGTTTTTTTTGTCTTGTTCTCATCTCACCAATATTTTTATTTCTTTCTTGTTCTTTGTTGACGATTTAAGATATTTTTTTCGCAATTTCCAACACTGTATTCCTATCATTCATATCCTATAACGTTTAGTTTTTTGTACGTCTTATCTTTCTTACGATCCTTGATAATATTTATATATCTGAAAGCAATTAGATATGCACGCTCACCCTCCCCAAACAAATACATATATGACTACGATATGATGAACTACCTTTGATTTTCATATTTACACCTAATAAAGCTGTTTAAGTTATTTGAAATATCACCATTGAAAAAATATATTCTAATAGTTTCTACTCCCGCACTTCTCTGTGGAACTCTCTTTCGGCTTCTCGCTTTCCCGTTAAATACGACCTTGAAAAGCAATTTAAATGCATCGTCAGTCGTCATCTGTCTATTTGAACCCTTTTCTTTTATTGTCGTTTCTACTCAATAACATTTTCTTAGTTTCTTCCTCTTTCAGTAAACTTTTGCTTTTTAGCGTAATTAACGCCTTGCTTGGAGTAAAAATGATTAAAAAATAAAATTCACATGGGATATTTATTATATAAAGATAAATATTTATTCATATTTGTTTGCAAGTAGAATTTCTATTCTGAAAACACTTACTTGCATAATGGGATCTGACATCTAATATTTTCTCTTTATTCATATATGCGATATCAGGCTAAAACATTTTACTTACATATGCTTTTTTTGCAAGATTTGAGAATGGTTATTTTCTGAAGACACGTTGAAGATGCTATTAAGAACAGGAACAAATTTTGTAGTAGAAACGAATTACTATATCCGGTCCTGGAGACAGGACACGGTGCTTGAAGACAAAGAAAAAGAAAACCTCTAAAAAAAGGGAACACGGCCTTTACAGCAGGTTTTGGCGTTAATTTGAAAGAGAATGAGGAATTAGACAAGTAGTGGAACCTTGTTCATAAGTAGCGCAAATTATGGAATATACGGGTAACATACCTCGTTCGAAAGGAGAATTTCAAGTCCCAGATGTAACTAGTATCGTAATTTTATCTCAAGGCAGCAGGGCCTATTCAAAAAGCATTACTAGCTTCTATTTGGTTAGGGAGGTGAGCTAATTGACTCTTGCAATTTCCGGTGATTTAGAAAAAAGGTCCTGATATACTGAAATGACGTTTGTTCAAATTGTATTTTGAAAAGGTCGTGATGTCACGGTGAACTTTCGGTTGGTTCATTGATCAGCAAGAATTTAGACCTCCCTTGTATAGCTAATGGTTTGTGGGATTGGAATGAACAGTTTATATGCAAATATACTTTGAAACTTAAATTTATTCACGACTTACGTCCTTTTCTTTGTTTACTTCAATAACTGCTTCTGCTCTCTGTCTCTCTCTAACACACACGCACACACACACACACACACACACACACACACACACACACACACACACATATATATATATATATATATATATATATACTGAGATATATTTCATTGAATAATTTAGATAGGTTTTGTCTGTTTATTTTTAATTGAATTCTTTCATATTCACGGACAAGCTTTTTGGTGTCATTATTAAAGAAAGAGAGAAAATTACCGTGTTGATACATATTATTTATTTATTCCGAGTACTTTCGAAATTAGCACAATGCTATCATCAGGGTGTTGTTTTTTTTTTTAGACAAATCTAGTAGTGTACATCATTCTCTAAAACAAAATTGCTGCTTTCATCTGAAAGTTAATATTTTTTTTACTTGTGAAGTTAAGAACGCTGAGTTAAATGCAATTAACGAGTAACGCTTCATGGGGAGATAACTAAGTTATGATATGCTGAGTATTTACATAAATAGACAAACCGTGTCTAAATTATTCAATGAAACATGTACCAATGAAAACATGCTTGTATGTATTTATTAAAACAAAAGCGTCTTTAAAATACTAGTTCTCGTAGTCAAGATGTTGGTTGTTTTTGTTTAGCGGTATATGAATATCTCAATGGGTTATTTAATGCCGAAATCTGAATATTTTGTACGCACTTCAACTACAAATATTTTGTACATAATTTTATACTTTCAGAATAAAAGTATGTTTTTTTTTTAATTTAGTTTGTAGATGAAATTGTTAGTAATTGTTTAAAAAATGTATTGCTGGTGATTTCACTACAAAAAATTATTGGTAATATTTTATAAAAATGTATTGCTGGTAATTTTACTATAAAATGTATTGTTGGTGATTATATCATAAAGATGTACTGTTTGATGTTTGGAGGGGGTCACTATTTGCCCATAGCTGTGACCCTAATAGGTGGTGGTTCCACGCTTCTCAAAAACCTCCAATCTCTCGAACAAAGGCTTTACTGCCGTATGTAGTTTATCGATCGTCATGCCCAGGACGGGCAACAGATAGACCAAGCAGTAATAATAACAACAAGTTACTTAGTTGTTGAATATCCCGACTCTGATTTTCGTCTCATCTACTCTTCAGGACTAGCACTGAACTCCTGAAGAGTCGATGGAATTCCATGAGTCAAATATTTAAATGCTAATTGAACTGATTTATTTTTCTTATACATAGCATATATTCTTAACTAATATCCACCCAATATAAGTTACAAGAGGCACTCAAGGTATAGGGTTAATGAATAAGGTGTGTGGTATGAACATAAGAGAATGAAATAGGGAATCAATATTATGAGGATATGGCGGATAGATAACGATTTATTCGAGAGTTTAAAAAGTTAAGATTGTAATATTTGGGGATGAATCCACGCTGGATTCTGTTCTACAAAATAGTGGTTCATGAGAAAAAGCTTGTCAGCTTAGTAAGTAGATAAGAACTTACCTCTTACATATGAACTACGAGTGTAATAAAAAAGAATTTAAGCATTTGCCATCGAAATAGCGGTAGAGTGGCGATAGGATTGCGATCTTTATGTCTGTGGAGAAAAGGGTTGTACGATGGAAAATAAGTCATTATATAAGGACGCATAAATGATTGTAAACACTGTCAAATCGGGAAAATGAGTACTGGGCAAATCCAGTCCAGTTATAGCAACCAAACTCCATTTTTTGTTCTAGTCTGACTCTTTTAAATATAAAACATGGCAGGAAGAGTCAGATACTTTCTGCACCGGTACAAGAGACCGGTCATTCCTCCAGTATCTTTACCGAGAGGTCCTACATATGAGTTCCACATGTAAACTTTCAGGTAAACTTTAGTTCCACTAGACATTCGAGACAAGGAGCATTATTAAGAGTGCAAATTAAATACGTTGCTAGGTCTGTTGCTAAGAAAGTTGATTCAATATGCAGTGCTAGACAATTTTTCTCTTCAAAATATACATCTTACATATCTTTAAGTCTACCATTCGTCCATGCTTCGAATATTGCTGCAATGTATGGACCGGTGCTCCCGCTATATATTTAGAGATTCTTGATAAAATCCAAAGAAGAATCAGCAATATTATTGGTCCTGGCCAGGCGTCTTGGCTTCAGTCACTTTCCCAGTGTCGTAATTTTACTTCTCTGTTCCATTTCTATAAATACTTTCGTTGTAATTGTTCAGATAAGCTCTTCGCTATGGTACCTAGACTTTATGAATTTAAGCACAGTACTAGATTGGCTAATATGTTTAATTATTTTACAATTGAATTTACTAGCTTTTACCATAATTTCTACGTTAGCATTTTTCTTTTTTCGTACTTCTCGCTTGTGGAACACATTTCCGGCCTCATGATTTCCATCCAAATTTGATCTTCAAAAATGCAATGTCAATCTTTATCTACTGTCTTAATTCTTGTTCTTTTATTTTTCTTTTGATCCTTAATAATGTTGTATGGTTTCTAATTTTTCACACCCAGTAACCCCTTGTATCTCAGTGGCTTTTCTGTCTTGCTTGAGGCGAATTCGATTAAAAAAATTGTTTATCAGGACGGGAGAAGATTCGGGGGACTGCTGGGTGATGATGAAACGTTGCTAGCTTGGTTTTGGAAGTATTGAATGTTAGAAGACAATCTTTTCTCCACGGAGCTGTTAGAGCTAGGTCAGAGAAGAGAGCTGTTTCCAGGCTCTTATCAACCATGCACGTTTTGACAGACACACACATGCACAAAGAAAGAAATAAAGAAAGAATGAAGGACATATATAAAATATATAATTTATACGCCATCATGTTGCCTCTCTTAGCTCTCTGTTACAATGGTTCTCGATGTAAGTGTTAAATTCCTCGCGGCAAATTGCATGCGAATTTTTCCTAACCCCCCCGGAACCAGTGCTGCTGTTATTAACTATTTCATACACACTGCGTATTGATCGTCGCCTGTCACCGAGTTCGATTTCACTTATTTATCGATCAGTGCTTGCTTCAGTTTTACTTCACGTCGATTGACGCTTGTCGTATAATCGACCAATCAGGATAATGTTAGCGATTATGAAGGTGATGACGGCGTTCAATAAATAAAAAAATGGCGTCAGCAATGACAAGTACCATAGGTGATATTGCATTTGTGGTAGGTCACTCCGGGACAATGTTATCTGTCTACTGACATTGGTGCATTATTGTACTATAAATGCTAGCAAGTTGGGTTGACTGAAAACTGGAAGATAGCGACGAGTTTTAATAATTACATGTTTATGGATACTGAAATTCAGACTTTACCAGTGAAACCTGTTTGAAATAATGAACGTAAATATATAGAAATAATTCACCAGTACACCCATACACATAAGCGCATACACTATAACATTTTTTGCAAGTGTTTTCACAATGAAATAGATATTAAACAAGTGATGTAGATAGAATTCCCAGAATATGGTTATATTTTCAGGACAAATATACCTGATGAATTTCAGTTTATAATATCTAAAAGATATTAACAATACCTTATTTACCGTCGTATGACTTTACTAGGTAACCTAACTGTTATTCTTCATCTTATTAATAAATATATGCAGTATTACTGTTATAAGTATTTAGTTTTTAATATATATATATATATATATATATATATATATATATATATATATATATATATACGGAACAGAATAATCAAACGAAAGTTGGTAATGAACGATAATACTTAGGACAAGAACAACACATATAAGATTCGCCAGCGCGCGTAGAAGTAGTCAAGTGCTAGAAGCGAGTCAAGTGAATTCCACAATGGATCTCCAACTCTAAGATATCTATCAACCACCCCACGCGGACAGATGTGGCACAAGGCCAAATCTAATGTGGGGTATCCCAGCCCGTAGGCTCGGCCAAAAATTCTCCGTAGATCTCGTATAAAACGGGGTCGGTTAGTTCTTTCCCGAGACGAGACTCTGCCCATCGACATAGCCTCGGCTGGAGATCCTCTCCGCCCGGAGGTAGAGAGTTTGACCAGCCCAGCTGGAGACAAATCTTCGACTGCAGACCAACATACAGTATTTACTACTGTATTTATGTAAATGGGGATATACCCATTATTGTCCGTAGGTATGCTACAAAAGTAAATCAACGCAATTTAGAAGATAAATAAACGGAAGTGGCATAATGTTTCCGGTTAGCATGATGGACTGTAAAATAAAAAATTGTTGGTTTCAGTCTTTGAGGTAATGAGTACCAAGAACACTCCCTACCTAAATTTATAGACAAATCCTTCAAATGCATGCTGGGATTTCTTCCTAAACAATAAAAATGGATAATTCTATGTCCCACCCTCACATCTTTTTTTCTTTATTGCCTTGAAGTTAGAACGCTATAACCACTCGACTGTATCCCTTTTGTGTGTGAACTTTTTGCCTA